TTTGACCCCAGTGCTCTTCCTGCCATGGCAGGGGGTCGGACTAGATGATCTGCTCAGGTCCCTTCCGACCCTAGAAACTATGAAACTATGAAACCATGAAACCAGAATGAGGTTAAGAGCTGATGGTTTGAGTTCTGAATATTTTTCAATAAGTCAAAGAGCTTTTCTGCATAAGAACTTTCATACTGCTGCACTGAGACCACTTACCCCAAACTAGCCAACCCCCTAAACCAATACCTTCCTTGACTTCACTGTGTTTTTAGGGGCCTCTCTGCCCACTACTCTTCCCAGGGCTCACGAGGGAGGACACGAACGGACCTGTTTGCACTGTCATCCAAAGTGCGTTCAAACCACTGCACAGAGGCTGTCTGGAGCGGGTTCAGAACTAGGGTCACTAGGTGACGGGCCAAACTGCAGCAACGCTCCGAACGCATTGGGTTCCTCTTATAAGGCATGGCACTTGAGCCTGCATACAAGAGGGTGAAAGAAGGAGAGGAGGATGGAAACAGGGGCGCAGAAGAAATGCACAGATTAGAGATCAAAGGAATCCAGCCCTCCTCAAGAGAACATAGATATGTTAACATTTGCATTTCAGCCTGAAAACTCAAACTTGGACAAACACTTCCCCTCCCCTAAGACTGGAATATCAGCACTCAGGGACAGAAAATGTGACGTCAACTTCTAAACCTGCCAAACTAACACATGCATTGGTAATATATAATAAGCCAAACTATTTTAGCACACTGTATTTAGCAGTCTTTATAAGCTTGTTGTGGCTTGCAGGGTGCAGCAGCACATCTGCTTGAGTGTTTGTCCTTGAAAAAAAAAAAATCTGTGGTTTTCACCGACTGTCCTTCCCTCCAGCAAGCATGACAAAGCTTGAGTGCTCATTTTTAAACAGCAGAAGACAGAATGACATTGAAAGGCTGAGGTAAATGTAATGGGCAGGGAGGAAATTGCTGACTCAGTCCTACAGCATGAGCTTGGGTGGCTGTACCTTTTCTATGCCATTGTCCACAATTCTGGAATTGTCTCTCCCTCTACATTGGATCACTGACATTTTTCTGGGAAAGGCTCCAGCCTGTTTTTACTCTTCCAACTATCAATTAAGTTCAATGGAAGTTGACTGCTTTGCTACTCAGTCAGGCTCATTTATGCTGAGGTGGGATGCAAACACACTAGGGTCTCTGCTCCGTCAAAACATATCAAAAAGGAACAGAAGAGGTATTTGCTTTTAGTTAGTTAGTGGGTCTAGAACCCCTAAGGCACAGGCAGATTGGGTAAATCAAACATTACCTAAAAGCATTTCTGCCAGTGACATTAATATTAGTGTTGCTGGGAAGAAAGTGCTGATGAGGAATTGCCAACATGCATTGGAAAGTAGGTTCAGTGGACCAAGCATCATACACTAACATCTGCTACTTCTTACCAATCTGATCTCTTTCAAAAGGCTCCTCTATCTCCTTGAGATTGGCCAGCAGGCGGATGTCAGTACAGATCTAAGGAAAGCAATAAGACCATATTTACACATGCACACAGTTGCTGTTGGTGTGCCTGGAGACTTGTGTATGTCTACACCCAAACAGTAAACTGAGAAGAAGAATGGACACCCTTAAAAATACCTACTTCAGAACTATGGGTTTAATCTTTCCATGAATGCTAAGGACTTAATCCACACTACTGGCCATATCTGGAACCAGAGTAGACAACCAGCAAATTGTTGCAGCATCTCCGAGGAGCAAGGCCTGTTTCCCAAAGGACTGGCACTGAAGCTTTCAAATGGATATATAGAGCTCAAGTCAAGAGAATGGGAAGGAGAGAACCCATATTTGTCCTACTAAAAGGCAACAGGACTCCAGGTACGGCAAGTGAGAAAAAATGATCAGTGAACACTAATACAACTTTCTAAAGGTACAAAGTGAAATAAGACAGGACAAATGACAACATGTTATCAGTCAGAAGAATAGCCAGACAATTTAATGCTCATCTCATTAAGCCTTCTCCCAGTGGGAGAAACATGCTAGGTGGGAGAAAATGGTGAGATTTTAAATCTCACATACCACTGGGAAGGGACCAGCTTTAGTATAAGTTAGATTAAAATTTGGATTGGAACCTCCCCTGTGAAGATCTCCTAGTAAATTTAGTTTACTTGCCTCTAGTAGCACCTACAGACAAGAAGTTGGGTCCAGGATCAATCCTATAGCTATGATGTCCTAGACAAGTGGTTTTCAACTTTTATTTGCAGAACTCTAAAAAATTTTGAATGGAGGTGCAGACCCCTTTGGGAATTTCAAATGGAGACACAGACCCCTTTGAATTCCAAGTGCAAGTATTCACATACTTTTGATTGCTCATAGTCATCTTTCGTGGACCCCTTAGAAATAAATTTGCAGACCCCCAGGAGTCTGCAGACCACAGGTTGAAAACCACTGTCCTAGACATATATCTAAAGGTGAATTAATCTGATAGCAAAGAGACAAAATGAGCAATTAGCTCCAAATGATGCTTCCCAGGAAAAGCACACTGCATCAGGATCTCCTCCTTTTCCAACCCTCTTTACAGATTTTTTTTTTATTTATTCAGTTTACATACTGCTTTTCTCAACTGCTTTATTAAACACTTGCCCAAATAGGAAGGACTTACAGCACTTCCAAAAATACATCCAAGCTTGGGTTTGGTTGGGCCTCAAAAGGGAGGGAGTTTCAGAGTCGAAGAGCAACTGCTGAGAATGACTTCATATACACTTTCACCATGCAGACATAGTATACTGATACTTGCAGGAGGCTGCTTTTAGCTGACCGTAGGGATTTTCCCTCCCATACAGAATTTGGAGGCAGGGAACTCACCTTGTGTATGGATGCCCCCAGACTGGCCAGCACACTTAGGACTTCAATATCCACTTTGCGGCTGTATGTCTGACCTGTTACTATATAAGCCCTGGAAATGAAAGAGAGAAAGTTGTTTGGATACATGCACCAGGAATACAGCAAGACAGAGTGAGAGGAAACACTGCATGGGCACACTGATGCAGAACCTCATCTTGATGAAACACCATGAAAGGACTGCTTGGTAATTTGCTTGGCCTCCTCACTTTTCATTCATACTGGTTGGAAACAACATGGGTGAAAACAATCTTGATTTCATGCTCCTCTTCTTGGCTCAGCAAACAGGCACAAAGAGGCAGCAGAAGCAGAATAGGAGGTCATGCTCTGACAGGGTGAGGTGGAATTTCCTTCTTAGAGCTACACCATGAAGCAGGGACCAATTGGGTGAAGATGCCCTTGACCCCAAGCAGCACAGAAGTTAGTTAGCTGGCTGGCAGAAACCGAGTCCATGAAAATGGTGGTCATCAACCTCTCATGGGCATCTCAGGTTACTAAGCAAGTATTTTACCTACCGCTTAAATCCTGCCATGGCAGTCACCAGCCTGTCGAGCTCCTCCACCTCAGGGGAAAAACAAACAGGAACCTCAGAATGCAATGACTGAAGAGTGAGCTATGCTGGCTAAGGGATCCCGACAACTTCCTTACCCTATGACTCACTAAGGTGTACTGCCAGCGCACATCAATCTTGCCCTGAAGCACCCCCTACTATTCCAAATGGGCTTCAACTCCATAGAGTTTTGCCAACATATCTCCTTAATAAGGATACAGCATCCAAAACTCATTTGACTCAAGAATCCCCCTCCGACCTGCACAATTTTCCCTCCCCACCATTCCCCTTGCTGGAAATTCTGACCGCTGTCAGAAAGTCACTCACTTTCTCATGACTGCCTTCAAAGAGCTGCAGGAAGCTGGCCTGAGTGCCAGTGGTGCCTTTCACCCCACGAAATCGCAAGTCATCCCGTGCACGCTCTAGGTTCTGCAGGTCCATGCACAGGTCCTGGATCCACAGGCAGCAGCGCTTTCCCACCGTGGTGAGCTGGGCAGGCCTGGGAGCAACCAGGGCAGAATGTAACTGATAACCAATACAACAACTCCACAAAGACTATGCAAGAAGGAAAGTGCTTGGATACAGTGTGCCATCATGACTCTGCTACCCTCTTTCCTCTCAGATTCTTCTGCTCAGTCCCATTTGTGGCGAAGAGCCAAATATACATATATTAAGTGACACCCAGATCTACAGGAATTCTTAGGTAAAGATACCAAGGAAGAATTCAGCACAGTAAGAAAATTCATGTATTAATTAACAGGTTTCATCTGAGTAAGAAATAATTAATGATGGATATTAAGAAGTATTTCCCAGCTATGCAAGCTATTAGAGTTACTTGGGGAAAATGGTAGGAACCCTGCTGCATGGGACATTTAAAACTGGACAGGGCAGAGTTCTGAAGAACACATGTGGAAAAGGCCTGGATAGGCAGAGGAGAGCTGACAACATGTGACTGAAAAGGCTCCCCCCAAGTCTCTAGTTTCCATGAGGCTTAAATCCACATATTTGATCTATTTTTAAAAGCTATTGTATTGGAGGCATCTCTCTCTCCACTGGTCCAGTAAATTATATGAACATTTAAGCAACAATTTCTGTAAGATTTAAATAAAAGGATAAGTGCTCCCCCTGCTGGATCCCTAAGAAAAGTTCAATGGGTATCCTTGGGACCATGCTGATAATGCAATAGAATATAAATGGAGAAAAACTTAATGCTGACATTCAAGGACACAAAGGACATGTAGACTATTGCACCCTCAGCCAGGTAGCTCACTGGGCTATTGGGTGAATGTTTTAATCCAGGAGCATTTGGATACACAAGTTAGAGAGTGGGATTGATTAACCTAATTAAATGTTCTTTTTTTTTAAATTTATAAAATGAATCTCTCAGCCTCTGGGCACAGAGTTTTCAGAAATAATCCTTATTTTATTAATCAGTGTTAAAATTAAGATTTCTACCAGCAAATCAGTAAAATATTTGATTCTTCAGCCATGCTCTTGCCTGGGGAAAAAACTACAGACCTCCCATTATAGTGGGAAAATTATCAGATATGTCAAAATCAACACAAATCACTCGGGATGAGATTACTTTTCCTATCTAAGGCATTTCCTCAGCACCCATGTTTCCTGTGTAGCAGGAAAGGCTACACAACTTCTAGTGATTCTCTGATGAGCCATAACTTGGGGAAAGGTGGACCCAGAATTTGAGCCCTGTGGACTGGCCTATTTTTTCTCCATCTGCACTCACCATTTAAGACTTGATATCCCCCCCCCCATTTCAGAGGCAATTTCCAGTACAACCAAGACATCTGATCTGGCATGAAATGTCCCAACTTCCTTAATTTTCCACTATTCTCCACCACCAGGAGTGAAGAAATAGGGTTTACCTCAATTAAACCTTTCTGGTAGCCATGCCGCAAGATAAGGTCCATACCCTCCCCTTCCCCATACCAGGCTGTTGATCTATTTTCTGCTCCCTGCCCAAACCGTTCCCTGCTTCCTCCCCAATCTGCTCTTATAGTGTGAAGCCCTGAAGGCAAATAATTGCTCTCCCTCACAGCAGCATCAGATTAACCCTTCTCCCCAGGCACCTCCTTGACCAGGACTCTGACCGCATCCTTCCTCAAGACAAGTTTAAAATGGTCATTCAAAAAACAGTCCAGCATCCTGCATAACACTGTCCAATACCAAGTGTACTGGCACAACAGGTATGAGCCTCCCATGACACAAAACTGTAATCCTTTAACATGGGGTGGGGGGCAGAATTCCTAGGGATTTTTAGTAACAATCTGTCTGTACCCTAAAACATGAATACTGGCAAGTCTTGTAATGATTGCTGCAGACACTAACAGCAATATTTTTTGAGCTTCTGCTGAAGCCAGTTGAACTGACAGACAGGAAAAAAAATGTTGCTGAAAACATGACTAGAATTTTATGTCTAAGCAGAGGCATGGTGCGAGCCTTGCCTTCAGGTACAGTGTGGAACATGAGTTTGTACTGCTGACATTTGCAGTTAAATGGTTCTTAGCAGATTCAAGGGGAGCAATCACTGGCTGCTATAGTTTCCCAAGGTAAATGGAGATTTACACATCTATTCCTTTTTAAAAATCTCACTACACCACAGGTCAACAATATCTAAAAGTAGTGGGCATCACATATTAGACACAGAAGAAAAGAAGGGAAAGAGAGTGAAGCGGCAGTAATAGAATAACCCAGCCTAAGAGTAACCCATGCAAGTAAAGCAGAAGCTCTTGGGCTACTTACTGGTAGTGAGTGAAGCCCAATGTAGGCAAGTTGGCATACTTCTCAGCAAAGTCGGCTAGCCGGCTGATCACCCTGGCGAGCTGATGAACGTGGAAGAAGGTAGAGGAAAAGGTAGTGTAAAAAAAAGAATTGCAGTGTAGAGAGAAGTTAAAAGGCAACTTGGAGTTCTTTTGGTACAAAAACTGGCATGCTTGAGCATAATAAGAATGGAGGGAGAGAAAAAGCCTGAAATTCTTTATTTGATCCCTTACTTAAGTTTTGTTTTCTAAAAGAAATGGCAACTACAAACAGATTACACTGATGGTCAACACAAACTGGCTCCTATATCCAGGAGCAGGGTGGTGGTTCAATCAAATAGTATTCCCTTTTCAAGGCAGTAAAGGTTGGAACAAAATGCCCTCATACAACCCTTTTAGGGGCCTTAAGGAAGGCTGGTTTAGAAAGAGAAGATTCACTTTTTACTGAGTGCCCAGAAAATCCCAGAGATACCCTGCATCTCCACCCAGAGGAAGATCACGGTTCACGTCATCTGCTCAAAAGCCATCAGTAGTGCCAACTCCCAGGAGGCTGTACACGTGATTTCTCTCTCACCTTGGGTAGCAGCAGATTGAAGCCATCGCGTAGAACAATCAGGTCCTGAAAGGAGTAAGAAAATGACGTTCAGGTTTGACTTTCCTAGGCATCCGCTATCTCATTCCCCTTCTGCTCTGAAAGCAAAAGAGATTCCTGTCTCTCTCAGAACACACAGCAGACATAGACAACTGAATAGCAACCCCTACCCCTCAAAACGAGTCTTCTAAGAGAGTTAATTATCACTCAAATTCACACGCTTCTGAACTAAAACACTGCCAGAAGGAACTTCTTTAAGAGAAGGAGGGTGTGATTTTTGTCCAGAAGCATAAGGCTGTCACTTCTCTGTGAACCAGAGAGAGGCTGGCAAAGCCATATAAAACCTGTTCCTACTTACAAGGTCATTATTCATTTTTATAGCACTCAAAGAGTTCAGGAAAATAAGACACTACACCCTAGCATTCCCACATAAAGTTCAGAAAAGTGTGGAGACCACTACTCTAGCAAATAGTGCCTGATCACGCACCCCTATCAGTAAAAAAATTTTTGAGCACGCATCTCCAATATATGTATATTTATATAACTATAAATAGAAGTTCTAATATTTTCTTCCCGCACCCCAATGGATCATCTTGCACACCCCACTTTGGAGACCACTGTGCTAGAGGACTGGTTAAAATCTGCACTTCAGAAAGAAGATCACTTTTCACATCTCTGTTTTCCTTCCTCTGGGACGAAATATGTACAGCTGGGTTGATATAACATGAAAAAAGCAGGTACAAGGTGCCCTAGAGACCAGACAAAGGACAGACTTGTCACAGGAGAAAGGCAGAAGTGTACTATGGCTCCTATGACTTTAAAGAGGGCTAGCCCCAAAACACTTTGTAGAGGTTGAAACTGAATAACTGAAAGTAAAATTTTTAATATAAAACTCTCATCCATTCTATTGACCAGTGACCAATCTTTTCCCTTACTGAATCAATCCCAGACCTTCCACAAAAACTGAAAGCTCATAAATGTGCATGTCGAAAGTAGCCTTGATTTCTCAAGTCACTGAAATACGGAATATCTGGCACAACCCATGTCATGTGGATTTTTATTTCATGCAGCTCATATGATTGTACATTTCCTAAACTTAAAGTAACGGACAACATACAAGAAGTCTTTAATAAGTTCAAGTTAAGGATAGATCTTACTGTCAAAAGGAGGGCAGCAGTGCACTCTGTGTACTGGGGAGTCAGAGACCTAGGGCCACAGCTGCACAGCTGCCCTTTCAATACTAGGTCTACTGCTGAGGAAGTTAGCCCATCTATTAACTCCTGCAGTGGGACACTGGAGACTGCCAATTAGGCAGTGCAAATGGCCATACCCACGCTCTGTGAAGACATGGCCCAGGACACCAGTTAGCATGATTTAGAACAATCACTGGGGGAATTGAGGTATGAGGTGTTACCTCCAAAAGAAAAACTAAATATTTCCCAAAGCTCTACTGGAGATTTAAAAAAAAAATCTGATTACAGAAATAAATTAAAATGATCACATCTACAATTGCTGGGTGCAGAAAGCAAGAACTGTTATACCGTGTTGTCCCCCACATAACAGGAAGTGGCTCCAAGGTGAATGATGCCTGAAGCTTTGGGACAGCAGTGTGCAAAGGTGTGCACATGGGCCATCACATCATGACGCAGTTTTTTCTCCTCTTCTGCGGCCATCTTGAAGTCAATGTTGTCCAGGTTGGCTTCCATCTCTTGGATTTGCTCATCAGTGATAGGCAGCCCCAGTGACTACAAGAAATTAAACATCTGACCTTAAGTGACCAAATCAGAGCAATACAAAAGAAATGTGTTTAATTTGCACCATTTAAAATATTTTTACAGGAATGGAAATTTGATGCACTTGTTAGTAAAAGGTCACATAAGGGGACTATAGTAGCAAATGATTTAATTCAGGGATTCTCCAACTTTTTGTGGCTGGCCTACACATCTGGGAACTACTTGCTGGACATTGTCTTCCAAGTATGTTCACGTTATCCCTGTGACAACTAAAGCAGCTGCTTGCATGGAAAAAAGCTATCAAAAAGTGTATTTTTAGCTTATTTTAATGCAGTTTAATGGCTGGGAAGGAGGAGAACTACTACCAAGTGACCTGCTAGTTCCCCCACACAAAATTAGAGCTCTGCACTACATTAGTTATCTATGGAATATATTTTAGGAGCCTTTACTTTATCCAAGTTCCAAACCCTCTATTTACAGCTTTACCTAAAATTTTCCTTTGCACACCTCACCTCCACCCAAAAACTGAAATGTTTTGGAATTTGGGACAAATCAGTTCAGTCCTCAGCTTAGGCAAATGAGGCAACCAGCACAGAGTTTCTGCTTTACAAAAAGAAAACTATTGAGCTTTCATTCACCTAAATTACATAGCAAGCAATTGGAGTAGGTGACTTCACACTGAGCAGACCACTAGTCCTTCATAAGGAACAAACATTAGGGCTGTACTTGGAGGAGGGTGGGGTGGCAAACCTAGCAGTAATACTTTAGAGGGATACAGACTTAAAATTACTATCTAAACATTTTTACCTATTATTATTACTTGCACCTTAGACCACTATAGTTTAAAAGCTATTACAGAAAAAATAATGCTGTATTTCTTGGTGTGTTTTCTTCATGCCTTTGACAGCATTTTTTTTACTGTTCACACTGAATAACAAAGCAGTTAAATGCCTGTGTTGCTTAGAAAAAATAAAATAGAAAAACATGAAAACCACAAAAATGATCAGGACTCAACAAGGCTAGTTACTTGGGAAGTTAACAACATTCCTTAAAATTAAACTTTTACATTTCATGAAGTATTTGCCCATGTGCAAAAATAACCAAGTATTGCTTTCAGGTACATCTCCTATAGTGTGAGGTGACAGCATCTTAATAACGTGCTGCTTATTTTTTGTCAACACAGTTATGTAGTTTGGGGCCGTCTAAGTGGCAGCCCACAGGGGGTTAACATGCAGCCCCTGGGCTCCCACCCAGGGGGCAGAGCACCATGGTGCCGTGCAATAGAGCGGAAGGTAAGTCGGTGCCGCACAAAGGAGTGTACGCCCATGTGCAAGGTGCAGTAGGATGCAGGGTGCCTGCCCACATGCATGCAGGACATGCAGCCTGGAGGCCCCATGACCCCTGCTAGTGCCGCCCCCATGGTGAGAGGCCCTCCTGGTACAGCCCATGGAGCACATAGCCCCCAACCTCTTTGGACAGCCCTGATATAGTCTTGTACAATTCCAAACTTGTGCAAATTATCCAGGTCAAGAAAATGTCTTTTCTGATTTATCAGTGCTTCCATTCTAGGCAGGATATTCAAAGGCTAAGGTTTTGAGACAAACAATAATTCAGTTCCCCCTGGTCATACACTGTAACTTGATTTCAGTGTTTTTCAACCTTTCCAATCTGTGACTAATGCCACATCTGCAATTACTTGATGGAACATCCCTATGACTTGCCTAGATCCCAGGGCCTTTTGAAGGAACAAACAACACTGGCCCTGCAGTAACAGCAGGATCTCACATTTGGCTTTGGATTCGGCAGGGTTGTTGAGACAAGCTGAGGGTACTAGGTTACACTTTTGTGGATGTATATTTTACTTTGGATGAAGTAGAGGGAAGAAAGGGTTGTGATGGGTCGCAGCCACAGGGTAGAGATGGATCTGTGGCTGGGCAGCAGCTGAAGCAGAGAGGGGAAGGAAAAAGGAATTACGTCTCTCTTTCAGTGCCTCCTGCTGGCTCTTGCTCTATAGATTTTGTTAAACATTTGCGTTTTGCAAACAATGGCATAAAGCAGAGGGTATGAAACCTTGCCACCCCCCATTTAAGTCATGCATCATGGATTGGGAAACATCACACTGTTAATTTTCTACCCTGTTATACGCAATACCTTACTTACAAAATGGACAGCCGCAACTTGGCTGTAGAAGCCTTACATATTTAATCAACCAAACTATCAGTCAAAATTGTCATGATTAGCACAACACTAATGTAAAATTTTTCATGCAAATATTTGTTTTTAAATCCCAACAATCCTTACCAACCAGTCAAACTGCTTCAAAGGTACATAGCATGTTAAAACCTAGTTCATTCCAAGGCAAGTAGTGAAGCCTTTTGAACGTGTAGGACTCAGAGAAGAAGAGAGCAGGTGAGACAGAAGGAGCCTATCAGCTAATATGCCTTAAAAAAGGATAACCAAAATTAGCACACTTCAGGAAGCAAAAGCCTCGAATGCTCAGACCAAAATGATGAAGGCACTTGGCCATCTCCAAGACAATACCTCATAACACTACAGTGCAGGGCACAGATAATTCTATGGGACAATGTGAAACTGGGATAACAAGCCAGTATTCAAGAGCTTGGTTTACCCTACTGGGAAAGGTGTACGTGATGGGTAGGATACCTAGAACAGTTAGAGCTAAGTCATTTTCTTCACAAGTACCCAGCCCACCCTGCAAACTTAGTCAAGGCACCAAAGCAGTGGCAATCCCACAGGTAGGAGAGAATCAAACTTGTGGAAAAGGGATTGATTCCTAGTGAAAAGCACATCAGATAAAGGGAAGCCAAGTTAAGCATTGATGTTGCACATCCACATATATCATATGATACCTCTCTCTCCCCTACAGCTGGGGTCATGGGAGATGGAAAGGGAAGAGGATGACAGCATAACTGAAATGCCTCAAACTAGTGCATCTAATAAAACTAGAAAGACAGGTCAGATGTCCAAAACTCCAGTGCCATGATCCACCTAGCCCTTATTTTCTATTTGTAGATATCTCTTTCCTCCAAAGCGTGTCTGCATCTCTCATGTAATACTGCAAGAAACTATGATTGAGCTCAGTTCTGGACATATTTGCTGCTAAAGGGCAAAGAAGCATTAGTGACAGGCAGCCAGAATAATCAGTCTGTCTCATGATGAGTGAAAAGATGGACACAGTTCAACTAGGGAGCGGAACAAGACAAAAGTACCAAGAACACAGAATGGCATTGGGAAGGCAGGCCAGGTGCTTCTTTCAACCCTTTCACTCGATGCAAGAGCAAGGAACATTCAATGACACTGAAACAGAGACGATTCAAAACTGATCAAAGGAAATCCTTTCCTACAATGCAAAGGTTTCCATTTGTAATGTAATATTTAGGTCAAGAGCTTAGCAGGATTCAAACCAGGATAGACATTTAGAGAGGCCTTGATCTAAGGCACCACCATTATACAATACATCTTTAATGCATCATTCATTAAATATGTTTTGAAAAGGATATAAACCCTCTTGCTCAGGTCATATGCCAATTTGTAATCATGATGGGTTTAATGAAAAGTTCCCTGATGTCAGGTTACTTAGAGGTGCACCAATATATCAGTCCATATTGTATCAGCACCAATAAAATGGGGCAGATCAAGGCCCCCACAGAGAGGGAGGGAGTGTGGCAGGAGCAGGGGCTGGGGCAGGACGGGGCACAGGGCAGTCATGGGCAGCTCATCTGAGAGGTGTGAGGGAATGAGAAGAGGGGGCAGCGGCTCCTGGCCACCGTATGCACCCCTGGGGAGGCATGGGGGGCACATATGCCCCGCATTTGTGTGTGGGGCAAAGGCAGGTAGCCCACCCTAGGGTGCCCCCTCCCAGCACCACCGCTGCCCCAAGCACAGCCCTGGCCCAGCCCTGCCCACCAGGAAGAAGCCGGAGCAGACCTGGCCCCAAGCCTGCCCTCACTCCATGCACAAATCTGGGGGGCACATGCCCCCCCCGGGGGAGTGTGCAGCAGTACAAGCCACACCCCACACTTGCCATGCCTCCCATGGCTCTGTCCCGTGCCCCACCCCAACTGGGCAATGCTGCCCATCCCACTCCCCACCTCACCATGTGAGCCTCAATCTACACCCCCCCGCCCCTTCACCCCTCACAGACTTATCCGCTGGATGCTGCTCCCCAAGCTGCTGGGCTGCATATTGGCTATTGGATCGGTATCAGCTGATATGGCTGGTTAATAATCAACCATTTAGACTGGCAAAAAATTTTTAATCAGGGCACTCCTACAGGTTACCACAACTACTGTTGGCTTACTTATTCTTTCCCTTATGAAGTCCCTGGTATTGTTCATTGTGAGATCCATAATATTGACATGATGGACTTCTGGTCTGAGCTGGTACAGCAATTTATGTTAGTGGTGACTTACTGCCAAATTTCTTCCAAGGGAAGGGCTGACATTAATGCCTTTCACTAATATCTAGCACTAACTTTCACAAGACCAAAAGCTTTAGTACTAGGAAGATACAGTCAAGGATCTCTTAATTTCCTGCGTCTAAGTTATAAAACTGGCTAAGCCTTCTGATTCAGAAACAGCTTGAAACAAGCTGGGAACAAGTAATGGGGTGAACAGTCCCAACACTCCTTCCTCCCATAATCTGTTTCTTGTTCAGGACCTCACTGTATTTCATGATAGAAGTCAAGGAAAGCTGGTCGTAGTTGCGTCTAACCAGTTGTGACTGAACACTGACAGAGCTAACAGGTGCTGAGTGAGAGCAATTCCCCCACCTATTCCAGTCTAGGGCTAATATCAGAGGGCTGTAATTCCTCAGGAATGTGAGCATACAGATAAAAATAAGCTTCCCTTTTCTCAGTGGGGTCAGAGAACTCAAGATGTCATGAAGGCAGGGGGCCTTTACTCTCCAGAAACAGTTTAGGCTGAGGACAGGGGCAAACAGGAGGAGAGAAACTCCTAAGTCCAGGTTTGGTAGTCAGACGGGCTGGAGATTTCATCTCGACTCAGTCACCATCTTGCTATCCAGTCTTGGGCAAATCATTTTAACTTATTTTATTCTCCAGCAGTGAGTATGGTGATCGTTACTTACTGCAGAGAGGGGATGTGGGAATTAGTATTTGTACTGTCTTGAAAATATAAAGCTCTACACAGGTGCAAAATATCCTAAAATTCTGGAGTTTGTTTAGTCTCAGCTGCAAAAATTCATACCTTGCAGGCAGTGTTCATATAGTAATAACAGACTAGAGCATAGGTATACTTCAACACTTGTTACACTGATCTCTTATGCCTGTTATCAATGTTAACAACACCCAGTTGGCACTTCAGGCTAAAAAAAGTTCACTAAACACACCTATATAAATGCACTATTTCACATGTGGTGTCAGCACCCGCTCCACAGTGGCTGAGGTGGCAACAAACAGTGGCACAATACCATGAGCCATGAAGGATGTGATGACCCCCTTCCCCTGCCCCCACATTGCTTCTTCATTCTCCTGTACGGTGTTAATCTATCCTGCAGAGTTGGACAATCACTATAACCATGCATGATAAGGACAGCCATTGGGGTCAAGCGTTATCTTGACACGCTATGGAAAAATTTGTGCGGCAATGAGTTGTCAGCTAGCAATACAAATGTGTCAAGGCTCTTTGCAAATCTGTTCAGTGCATTCTGTCCTTTTCAGTCACTTCACCCTGTAGCTGCTTGAAGATTTATTGCACATTTTCCCCTCTGTTTCCACTGTCTAATTTCTTGGACTGACAGGAAAAGATCTCCAAATTCTTGGATTGACAGCAGGTTCTTTCAGTTTTACTGAACTGCTCTGTGTCCATGCGCATGTGTTTGTAGATGTGAGAAAGGTGCAGCAAGCATTTTTGTGATTAGCGTCCTGTTCATTTTGACCCAAATTAGTTAAGTCTCAGAGATATGGACTGCACAGGTATGAGGGGCTGAGGGTTACCAAAAGCTGCCTTTAGCACAGGTTTCCAACAAACTGAGGACTCTTTGAACATCAGAATATTTTAGGTCAGGCACATCAATTGTTAGGGCCCCACTACCGGGGGCATTACTGTTTGGTCAGATGATAAAACTCCTTCTTCATCCCAGAAAAACTGTTTACTTTAGCATTATGAAACATTTCATAGGGGAGTGGAAAGTACAGAGGGCAGGGATGTGACCAAAAGTCTGCTTGGTAGCAGTCAATACTTCCTTTTGCTGAAGAAGCAACAGGACTCATTAGAGAACCAGCAAAGAACTGTATAAAATTGTGCCTGAGCCCATTTTTTTTTTACTTCTTTATAGGCATGGAGTAGTATAACATTTACAGAGTTTTAAACACCTTTAAAGCGCTAAAACAAAACAAAATGTGTGGGCAGATAATGCCGTAGCGCTGTGTGCTGTGAACCAGCCTGGATGAAGCAGGGCTTCGCAGTGACACTGCCCCACAGCTAAAGGCAATTGTGTATTTGTAGGTTACCAACATGCTACAAACGACAAAGTGCTTAAAAACCTCAAATCCTGAGTCTGAAGCGCTTTAAACAAGCCTCTGTCCACAAGCAAAAAAGCCCCCAAGGTGGCAGCTTCTCACGTCACTATTCTTTTCGTGGTTGTTATCATCCCACCAGCGGTGCCCACACTGGCCTATTTGGCTTGGGCTGCAGACCACGAGGGAGGCACCGGTGGCCTCACCCTGCTACAGAAGGAGCAAGGACGGTGCCGGGTATGGAGAAGGGAGCTGGCCATGCTGGCTGGCAGGGGGTATGGGCTCCCTTAGGGACTAAGAGTGTCAGCTGCCAGCCTCAAGTCACGAACCAGAGCAGATCCCTCAACCACACAAAAGCAAACACGGATTGGTCTCCTGCCCTGGATCTGTGGGGCTCCCAGACCCCTTGTGCCAGGAGATGGGCAGAACCCCTCTGCTCCAGTGTCAGCCTGGAGAACTTGGCCCACATGGCGGCACAGTGTGCACATGGGACGGTCCGTGCAGGGCACAAGCGCGTGGTGCCAGGCCGCGCTGGCACAGGCAGGGCCCGAGCACCCCTGAGGGGGCGGGGCTCATTTCAGGCTCCCGCGCTGCAGCCACCACCAATCAGCGACGAGCTTCATCCTCCGGGCCCGGGCTGGAGGACGCACCAGGTGGGCTGCGGGGGGGGGGGGGGG